AAGCTGTTCAAGGGCAGGCCCGGCAACACATACACGCTGTACACGGATGGCAACGGGGTGGAGCTGAGGGCGACGTTTGGCGCGGGCGGCTACCAGGGGAAGGCCACCTTCATCCGCGCCATCTCCCTCTCCCGCCGCAACGCCGGCACCTCCGCCACGCTTGTCCAGGTCGGCTCCAAGTGGGTGCTGCAAGGTGAGAAGCAGGGAGAGCGGAGGTGGCTGGCCAGTTAGGGCACACTGCTGGCGCAACCTGGAGCAGCTTGCAGCACCGCGGTTGCGCTCCTGCGAATGGCGGCGACCCGCCACCCGGCCGTCGCTCTTGCCGTTGCGGAGGCAGCGCCCGAGGCGCATCGGCAGCCCGCGTGCCCACATGTTTGCCGCCTCACTCCTGCGCGGCGCCGCCGGCTTGTCTGCCTGCAGTGATGGCGAACGGCCAGAAGGTGCGAGCCTTCAAGATGGTCAACCTCACAGGCGGCATCATCGTGCAGGCAAGCCAGGGCTGCCCGAACTCCGCAGCTGGCTGCCTGCCCGCGCCCCTGCTCACACAGCACCAGCCCAGCGTTGAGCGGCGGCTGCGACCGTCGTGCCTCGCCCCACACACGTGCCGCCGCCTCACAAACAATGCATGTTCCCCCCGCCCTGCAGGCGACTCCCGTCAAGGACGGGCAGCCGTCGGGCGTTGTCATTTCCACGCCCTACCTGCGCATCCGGGCGGCACAGCGTGCACCCTTCATGCCGGCGCAGGTGCGGCAGCCGGCGCTGCCATCTCCGGGACTAACCGCACCGCCGTCTCGCGCTCCATGCGCCACCAGCCAGCTGGCTGACGTGCCTGGTTGTCCTGGCCCCACTGCCGATTATAGCATATCATAGCCTATTATAGCCTATTATAGCCTATTATAGCCAACAGTAGCCCACCCGTCCGCTCACAGAGAGCCATCGCGCCGGCCTCGCGCCGATCACCCCCACACCCCCACCCTCCACACTCACCCACCCACCCATCAGCATGTCTAGCAGCGAGGGAGCCAGCCTTGGGCAGCGCAGCCAGCAGCCGATCAGCAACCCGGCCTCCCGGGCATCCCTGCGGCCCGATTTCCCCCATATCGTGGTCAAGGGGCTCGCTCTGGAGGCCGGTGGGGGCCTGGGGGCCGCAGTCGCAGCCTTCGTTTTGTTTTGCCGGGCCAGCCTTCACCTGCCAGTGCCTGACTGTGTGCCTGTGACCTGCGTTGAGATTCGGGTGCGTGGGGACGGGCGCAGCGAATGCCACCTGCGACTGACTCCTGCCCTGTGCGGCGCCCTGATGGGTGCCCGCCGCCGCCTTTCGTGGGCAGCACCAGAGGTCAGCATTGACCTCTGGCGCTCACCTGGGGAGCTACAATACCTCCATGAGCTGCGCCAACAGCGCGCGGAGGAGCCCCCAGCGCGCCAGGTGGGGCGGGCTGCGACCTCTCGCTGGTGGCGAGCGGCTCCCCTCCCGCCGCCCTCAGCTGAAGTCGTTGCCGCCCCTGTTGCTGCTACCCCTGCCCAGCCCACGCCTGCGCCGCCTACACTGCCTGCCGCCGCCGCCGCCGCTGCCGCCGCCGCCGCTGCCGCCGCCGCCGCTGCTGC